AATATGGAAAATTATAAAAAGTACAAAGCAGATGTGTAGGTTTCTAATAGTTTAACACAATGCTACTGATTTATCATCACACAGGCCAGCGTGGATGGGGGTTTGGGGGTGGGCAGGGGAAGATTGTGGTTGAAATGGAGGTGATTCATATTATAATATATTCTACCACTGGCAGGGCAGCCAATATGTACTGAGAAAGACATTTCAGTCTAAGCCAGGATGACGACTAGGCTCTTGTATGTAATACACCTCAAAGGCTTCAAAGAGCCAAGACACACCCTGGGTGGTCGACACTTGAGCACAGAGGACTTTCTCCCAAAGGGAAAAATAGAAAATACTGAATTTTGATTAAGAGCTGTAAAACCACAGTGTGCTCGCAAGAAGTGCTTCACCCTTTGCTGAGATGCTCTCTGGTTCTTAAAATCCAATTTAACAAATAAATACGAGTTGAACTAGGCACAGTGGCTAACACCTGCAATGCCAGTGTTTGGGAGGGGAAGGAGGAAGGATCATTTCAGGTCCTCACTGGCTACACAGCAATGCTGAGACCAGTCAAAAAGCAAACCAAAAAATAATAACGATGGTGATGATAATGATGAAATAAGGAAGGCATGTTACTATAAGGAGGGCAGAATTCTGAAGACTATTATTCATTTTTCTGGATTTTTTTCCGCAGGCAGTCCGGGTTCTGTGATCCTGTGTGTTGACAGGCTCTGACAAGGCTGTGAGACACGAAGACGGAGTGGAGATGGGCAGGGCCGAGCCTGCACCCCATCTCAGCAATGGCAGCCAGCCGAGGAGTGAGTCTCCGAAGAACAGCCGGTTGGTCTCTCTTCCCGTAGGTAAGATCTGAAGAGAAAAGCCTGGGGTTCTGTCCGAGCCAGGAGCCGTGGCTGTATCTGCAGTTATCTGACCAATGGCTGGAGCTGGGGACATCAGGAGCACACAAATCCCTCCTTCCACTTGGCAATACCCCCACCTTTGTCCTGTTTCTACCCTGTGCAGTTTCGCTGTCTCGGTTTCAGCGGCATCTTCACTCTGCGCCCGGCCTTTCTACTGACCATCTTCCAGGGCTTGCTGGTCGGTCAGCTGTTGTTTTGTTCTGCCGTTTAGTTTGAGACTTCCTACAGTTTCTTCCATCTTTGCACAAGCAGGACATGAGCATGCCAGGAGTCTCCTGAACAAGTCCCATGCTACCCCAAACAGCTGGACGTTCTCCACGAATGGAGAACTAGAGGCCCGGCTCTGAACACACTGCTCCGCATCTTTTTCTGTGAACAACAGGCACTGGGGTGAGGAGCTGTTTTTATCCCACCCCGACCCCATGAAGACTCGCACAACCACACCACCAGCTCCCTGTTCCTGATTCAAGCTCACAAAACCCACGCTATTAGGAACACGCAGGGAAACTGGTGAAGAGATCTCTTCCGGGCTGGCGGATCTCTGGGGCAGAGTGCTTACCTCGCCTGTGTGAGGCCAGTGCTGAAGCCGGGGACTCCATCACCAGAGTCCAGCAGGGCTGGGTCCTGGTGAGGGCCCCTCTGGCTTGCAGACTTCCACGCTGGGCACAGGAGCCCGGCCACCACTCGCCCTGTCTGTAGACCCAGAGACTCAGCCCAGACATGGCCCCGGGAATCAGCAACAGTGCGAGGCATGTCCAAATTCTCTGGGTCTCCCAGACTCTTACACACCCCTCGGTCCATTCTGGGCATGTTTGCTTCATTTTATTATTAATGATAAGTATAATTCTTACGCCCAAACGGAGCAGAAACTTCAGTAACTGTTTCTTAAGATCCCTGTATTGTAGTAGATTCATTTGTGAACCCTCTGGAAAGAGAGATGTAATTTTCCAGACACATCTGTAATAGTAAAATTTAAAATTAAAAAGAATTTGTGCCCTGTTCCTCTGTCACGTGGTTCCCTCATCTGTCTAGGGTTTGCATGAGACCCAGGCTCCCTCTAATGGTCACATTTGGTGTGAATGCATTCCTCATCCTTACCCAGAAGTCTTGTGGGATCCACCTAACAGGGCAGAGTCTCCCAGACACTGCAGCTCCTTTTACTTCGTGGAAACTAGAGCTTAAAAAAGCAACAGCATTCCAAATTCCTCTTGACTGATCTTTGGAAAAGAAGCCAAATTAAAGTGACGTGTGTGTGTGTGTGTGTGTGTGTGTGTGTGTGTGTGTGTGTGTGTGTTGGGGGCAGGGGTGCATGTGTGCACATGAAGGGCAGAAGACAACCTCTGGTGGCTCCCTAGCAACCATCCACCTTTCTTTAAGCAGAAGTTCTCACTGACCTGGAGCTCACCAGTTTGGCTAGGCTGGCTGGCCCTTGACCATCATGAATTCCCTTGTCTCTGCCTCCCTAGTTCTGGGATTATTAGTAGACACTACCAGACCCAGCCTTCAGAAAAAAAGAAAAACCAAAACCCATGAGCTCTAGGGATTGAATTCAGGTCCTCATTATCAACCAAGCTGTTTCCCAGCCTCCAAGTAAAGTT